AAAGACTTTTTTATCATATTTTCTATTTATTTTCTATTAAAGAGAAAAAATATTTCTTCATTGTAGTTATGTAAGAATTATTTTTAATGCTATTTTTCTTTTCTATTTACTCCTTTCATAATCAAAATATAAAAAAAAAATTTCCATATTTAAATATTCTACCAGCCATATTTATCCTTAATGTTGGGTACTTTTTGATTCAGATAGTGAAAATCAAAATGTTGTTCAAGAAAGCCAAGATGTTCAATAAGTATTTTCATTTCACTCTTTAGTTGAGAGGATTTTAATCTGAATTTTAACTTTTTTAGGTAACTAAGTGTCAGGCCTGTGAAGCCAAGGAGTTTCTTTATTCTGTGTTCTGAAAGCATAAAATTTGCCATAATATTAAGGGGTATTTAACATGATAGTTATTCCTTATATTCTTACTGTACTATTTTAATATTACTCTATTCAATTAAAATTTAATTATTTCTCTAGAGATGCTAAGAGCAAACCAAGAGAATTTCAATACACCATATTCATTGCTCATCCTGCAAAAGACAAAAAGAAATTATGATTTACTTGGTACAGTGAAAATTAAAATTTTCTCTCTGCTAATTTGCAGATGATGATTGTCTTTGTGGAACTCATTTTTTTGCCTCATTACTCACCACAGCTCCTGAAAGATCACCTTGTTCCAGGCAACCCACAGCTGAAATTTAAAACATGTCTTCATACTTTCTTCCCTCTAGCTGCACAAGAGGTTCTTCCGTCACCATATCCAGACCTGCATCAAGATCCAGAATTCCTGACTGCCCTAAGCACTCACTGACTGCCTTCTGATCCTAGAGGAAATCAGGGAGTATTTTTCTTCACCAAAATCTTAAATGGGAAGATGTGGAGTGAAGAGATAGATTTTGGGCACTGTAGTAATGATCAGAGCAGAAGATAATGATTGAACTAAATTTAAATAAGAAAATTAAAAATTTAAGAATACTTATAAAGCACTATAAGTACTAAATGGGTTTAGGTCTTGATACTATTGAGCAGTGTGTATACAGCTAATGGTGCCTAATGATGTCACACGCTTTCAATAATGAATGAGTGGGATTTTCTTCCAAAAGACGTAGTATAATTTGGCATAGGCAGTAACCACTTCTCTAACAAAGATAGTATTTTTATGAAACTGTTACTAAAAACAGCAAAAGCCAAAGATAAGAATAATATTTTTAATTAATAGCTTTTTTTAAGATTTCCTGAAGGGACTGATAGATGCTTGTACATGGTCTTTTAAAAGTTACATCTCTTTTATTCTTTGCTGACACTATGTACATTCCCTCTTCATCTGAAATTTCTCTCAAGTGAGGAACCCTACCAGAACTATTTATTGTCTTATTTAAAGAATTTTCTAAAAAATACATCTGTCTCCTCAAATATTTGACATGTGTAATATTGTGTGTTCAGATTCAACACCATTTTAATTTTCACATTTTTATGTTACTTTTTTTTCCCCAAATCAAACATACAGTATGTAAGTGAAAACATAAAGTTTGTGCACTTGGGGGATACCCTGATTTCAATGTTTCTTGATTTTCAATTTCTTAAATTTCTTAATTTCAGTCTTCCAGAGAGGATGAGCTTTTAGCATATAGAAGAAACAAACAGAAAATCTGGATGTTTGACATTTATTTAGGTAACTATCAGAACTCAAAAAATGTTTACAAATGTTTTAAAATAAAAAAAAAAATAGTATAGGCCTTTTTTGTTTTCTGTTTTAGCTTTTATTTGTTTAGATTTGCCTACAGTAATCATGCTGGAAAATCTTGATGCTCATGTATGAGCGAAGGTGGTCTCTTCACCTCAGAAACCACTTTTGTTTCCTTTCCACTTTTATTTTTCTTGATGTGTTCTGAGACCACAGGATTATTCAAGAAAAGTACTCATATGATCATACAATACAGCAAAAGATCTAATACTTTTCCTTGTAAGGGGCTCCAGTAATCCCCTTCTGGACAGAAAAAAGACTGTCAGCCTCCTCATTGTCCTGTGATGTCATATTCAGATGATGATGTGTCCTCTACAATTTAAAAGTGACCAAATCTCTCACTCACATACCCTTTCTCTTTCTCTCTTCTGTCTTTTAAGACGGACAACTCTTTTGCCTACCACATAAAATTTATACTGTTAGGTTTCCATCTGATGGTCTACTGCAGCTGGAAAACTGATTTCCACTAGAAACTCAGTGAATCGTGAAACACTACAGCAGGGTGCATCTTTGGATATTTCTAAGTATATTGGCGCTTTTGTTAAAAGTCCATAATTCTCTATTTATATGAGTCTCCAGAAATTCGGTTTTGCTGTCAGGGTTTATTATTCTTGTACATATAAATACCACCATGTTTTTCACTATTATGTATAGAAGCAATTTAATCTACATACTCATCTGTGGACAAGTGAAGATTCATGGACCTAACCGCAAAACCCCAGCAAACAAGATAAGTTTATTTAGTGCAATGTACCATTATTTTAGGACTGCTTAACCATGAAAGAGCTTGTGTTGTGTTTACTGTGCCACTAGTGAATTTGATTGCAAGTACTTATTTCTTTTCTATATAGCAGCTTCAAAAAGGTAACTAAATTGCTGTTTATTTTTCACCCAATCCTACTAATAAATGTGAAGAAAACTTGACAAACATTCATGGAAGATGGAAACACACTCTGGTAATTTTGTTAAAGAGTAATTTCTGGACAAGAGTATGAATTAATCTGTGTAATGAAACCTTGTATTCTGAAGTGGAATGTTTAATATTCTGCATATTTGAATTTAATACATTGAATTTTCAAAATACAAATCAGAATATTCTGATTAATCACATGTTGTAGCAAGAAGGAAGAAAGTGGCAAATCTAGCCTTAATATTCTCAGAAGGCAGAATGCTCAAAATACACAGAAAAAAATCTCAAAAAATTAAAGGATTCTTAACATTCTCAACACATCTGTGCTCTGAATGAACATTTTATTTTCTTGTCTGTGATTCAGAATATCCACAGCCACTCTTCAGTGACTAGGTAAAAAATCATACATAAAGCTTTATTTTCAAGTTGAAGGCATGAAATAAACACTAAGAAGACAATTGTACACCTGTTTGCAAAAGTAAAAAGGCATCTCAGATCTACTCTGCTTTTGAAATTTGGCCAAGAATCATATTTCAGAGGCCAAATAGTTCATAACGTTATTCCCAATGTTCTGTGCTGTATGCCTAATTGGGCTGCTACACATTTACATAAGCATGATGCTTCATGATTAATGTATAAGTCACAGCATGGAACCCTGAACAAATTTATCCACAGATCCTTCTCTCCATCTCTACTGCAAATAACCAGTGTGTCTAAACTTTAGTCTATCATATCCGTACACATGGCTATGTATCAAAAATTACACTGTATAGACTTCATTATAAAGCTACAATGAATTGTAAACTTCTTTTATCTAGAAATGTTAATAACAATAAAATGTTAACTCTTATAAAACCACTGACATTTATACTTTCTGTGATTTATGGCAGTATTTATTTTTTCATGTTAAAATTAAGTGTCAAGTGTCTAGTTTTATTCTCAAAATTGAACAAGATTATATTTAAAATGAAGACTTTGTTAATTTAATAACCTTATAATTACTTTTGCACTGATACTCTTGGGGTAATGTTAACCTAAAACAAACAAGAACTTGCTGTTCAAAAGGAGCAATATGTTAATAATTTAATAACATATCCACTCACAGTCAAATTAAATAGAAAAACTCCTGAAAATGTTAACAAAGGTCTGATGAACAAAAGCCAGAGGATGCCACAGTAAGAGTGCCAAGAAAAAGTCTAATCTTTGATAGTTAAGCAATGCAGACGTCTTGAGAGACTGCAGGCTGATACATGTTCTTTTTACTGCAATTCCTTGCAATAACATGATGACTGATCTCAAGGGATCTTCCACTCAAGCTTAATTTGTTTCAGTCATAAAGGCAAAAAATTCCACTGCTGTTATTTAAAGACTTTTTCCTACTGCCACAAAGAGCATACACTGACTGTGATTTATTTTCATATATTAGCAATACTATTATCTTGGACTAGCAAATAAGGCTATATTATTGGCAGCATCTCAAAGCAGGGTGTAGAGTCAATCACATTTTGTGTAACTGGGAAAAGATAGAAACAAAATAGTTTGAAGTGTGAGGAAGTGCAACTTTTATGAGCCACACCCATTTTCTTTTAAGTTGAAAACTGTAAAATTTTACAAGAATAAAAGCAAACAAAGTTTTGTTTATTTAAAAAAAAAAAAATGTTTTCATATAGCATCCCACATCTAAAAACTACCTTCTCATTGGTTAGAAGTCATTGGTGTCAGTGATTCAGATCAGTAGGATTTTAAATAATTTTGAACATTATTTACCTGCAGTTTAACATCAAGAATAAAAACATGGCCATTTGAAATAATCTACTTATAGAGAATTAATATGAAATTCCATTAAGCATTATGTTTATATTATTCTGAATTTAATAAAAATATAGAACATTGTATATATGCATATTTTCTACAAAATTTAGCTTACTCTTTGAACTAAATACACTGTGCCATTAGGAAGGGACCTACATGTTAATCAGATGAGTCCGGGTGAAAATAATTTATTTTTGGAAGGGACATAAGTGATAAGCACAAAACAAGCAGAAGACACCAAGAAGTATAGCTCTGGAGGAATCTATTCCCTGTCCTAAGTAATAAAGCCAGCAGAAAATATTTCCATTCTATGATTCTTAAGCAACCTAAAGGATCACCTATGCTGTGTGAATCCAGTTTGTCAGAATTCTAACTTAGCAGTGCAAACTGCTTATCTAGGCTTCTTTGGGGACAAAGTGCTGTGTCCAAATGGAAAGTCACCCCATTTACACAGACCCTCTGTCTAGACAGATACTTAAATCTCAGTGCACCAAAGAAAGTTGGAATTACAATCAACCTGTATGCACTCTCCTAATGACTGTTCCTGAAAAATTCACTTTTCCTCCTATCAAATGCCCTGTTCTCTATACATCCATATATAATAAAAAAGGTTCAACACTGCAGAAACGTTTTGACAAAAGATAGTATATTTGTATTTGAAAGCAAAGGGATTTCCGTTTCAACCAATTTTCTCTTTTCCCTTTGAAATTGGGATTTTTCTACACATTAAATGTACTAGTGGAAATAATCAAATCAAAGCAATCTGCAGAAATTAAGTTTTCCCTCCAAGTGTATGATACTACTGCTTTAGGGCTTAAAAATGTTCAAAGCTGGACTGTAGCAGCTCCTATATCATTCCTGTACTGTTGTCTCTCTCTTTATACCAGTTTTTATGGGGTTAAATACACTTCACCAATGGCACACAGTCTTTCTGATTATGTCCTCTTAAAAGAAAGTCCTTTTATGGTAAATATTATCTGAAGATTCTATAGATAACATATGGAAAGAAGGGGTTTTTTTATTTTCTTATCACTAAGACATAAAAGCACATGAAAAGGGCTACATTATAATACATCTTTGGGTTACATAAAGTAGATTTTATTTTGAAAACATTGATATCTTGAAAACATTGTTTTAATTGAATGTATTTATTTTCTTAATTTAAGAATACGTTTTCTATAATAGCAGAAGAAGAGGCAGCCCACGTTCTTCTGGTCTGAATTTTGTGACCAAATGTACCACAAAAAATATGTGACATTAATGGCAAAACTGGTAGGATTGTAACTTCATGAAATGTATGAAAACAATGTAGAATTACCTATGTATTATGTTTTATTTTTATATATCTACTGGCAGTCCTTTGTTTTAATATCTGTATGAATTTAAAATTAAAATTACACCATTTTAAGAGTGACATGAGAGATTTCATTTTTTTAACAAACATCCAGGAAAGTAGTCAGGAAGTCCAAGACCAACAGTAAGCTCAAAAGCTGTATTTTTTCTGTAAGATCTCTGAAAGGAGAGTCTAGCAAATATTTTTAACTCCATTTTAGACAAATCTATTTTTTCTCAAAGCCATATTTAGGACAAACAGTCATAAAAATATGGTATCTTCACAGGAATTAATATTATTATGTGATACATATTAATAGAATATTAAATAATATATTAGATCATTTAAAAATATTTCGATACATATCAACCAATATAAGTATATTCAGTACCTACTTGAGGCTTTAGTATGGAAAACATAAACATTTGATAAATGTTCCAGTTTCTATTTGTATAAAAAGATATGATTGGTTTACAGTGCACCCAAAGTTGTTTCAGCAACAAAAAATCTCATCATTGTCATATCATTAATAAAAACAAACAAACAAACAAACAAACAAACAAACAAAAAAACCCGCCATCCCAGCCAAACCAAACAAAACCAAAAAATCCTCCCAAAACTTTGAGTAGAAGTTGAAGCATGGGGTGCTTATGTGTAGATTTATTCTCCTGATTTCACTAATACTCTAGTTAGAAATGTTTGGAACTGCTGATATCTTTCCAGAATTGTATACACCTGTAACAATGTGGGACCCTGTATGTAAGAAAAAACGAGCAAAGGAACTGAAGGTCCTTGTATTAGATATGTGTTCTAACATGATTTTGAAATTATTCTATCAATAGAAAAAAAATGGCACACCCTAGAAGTCAGGTTAATAGAAGATTCAACTATGCTGGTTTAAAGAATTTAGGTACTTTTTAATATATTATAACACAATCCTCTTTTGCTGGCTTAACTCAGGTTCTCAGTCACTTATCTTGCTACCTCAAATGGAAATATTCTGCTACTACTTGACCAACAATGCAGCCAAGGGGTATGAATCTGTTATGTGTACCAGTTTCATCATTTTAGTATGGTATTGGGACTTAATCATCTTCACATCAGTCACTCTGACGTATGTTATATCTGACATATGATATAGGCAAATATAATATTTTCCTGTAGAAAAAGGAAGGGGGGACTGTTCATAAATCTGAATCTTGGGAATTTGTCATGCTCATAGTCACTGACTTTCAGCCAAATGCTCACAGTTTACCACTAAGGAGTACTAAGGAATAGCTTCCTTAACAACATACCTGCTCTAAATAAGAGAGGATGCATTTGAATGGCATTCAGTACTGCTTAGATGAATATCTGTCAGGGAATCACTTTAATTCTAGATAATGTTTTTTGAAAAAATCTCCAAGAGTGATTGAAATGCCATATTTTTTTCTAAGCAATCTAATTCAGGGTTTGACATCTAGAAAGAGCTTTTGCTAATGTTTCCCATATATCTCCCACATGAGCTAATTGGTGTATAAGTATGCATCTATTCCTCACAGTGGTTAAACAGGCCAAAGAAAGAGTTGATTTTATCTACAAGTAGACATATTGTATAGAACTATGTTTTGGCACCAGCTGTGAATCACTATGCTTTAAAATTATACTTGGGCAAGTTTAAACTCATAGTCAATCTAGTTCTCCATTGTTGGAACCCAGACGCCCTCACCAAAATTTCAGTCAAATAGGTATTATCTTCATATATAGTATGATATACTTTTCTTCTTGGATGGTATGATATACTGGATCTGCATGGTTGTATTCCACTCGACATGGTCATGAGCCATTAGAGATGTCAAACCACTGCAATCCAGCTATTTTAATGGCAAAATGTTGCCATAAATGAGAAGTTTTATTTTATGATTTTTATGTTTTTTTCAAGTTTCTACTTTTCTAAAAGATAAACCTGAGGAGACTGAAACTATTCTTTTCAATGCACCAATATTCCGTCTCTGTTCTCTATGATTCCATTAAAAATAATATTACTGCACACATGCACAGAAATGCCAGGCTCTTTCAGGAAAAAAAAAAAAAAAAAAAAAAAAAAGGTGTTCTGCATTGTCTTATGCACTTGTCTCACTTGTCTCATACTCCAGAAAAAAAATGTAATTTTTCATTAGAAGCAGAAATATTCTGATGATCTTTTGGTCTTCTGTCTTCTTTTCCAGAACAGTCTGTAAGCCAGTAAGAAACAAAATGCTCTCCTAGAATATGAAGCAAACAGAAGTATCAGTAAAAAATATATAACGTAAGAAAGGCTTTTTAGCTGACTGCTATTTTTTATGAAACTGAAGTTCCTAGGAACTCTTGGTGATCCCATTCTTCCTCTCAACTCCTTGAAAAACTACCCCTTCCTCCCCCATGAAACCTCACAAAATTGAGTGGAAAAAAAGTTTGTATAAGCTCCTTTAAATGAATGCACACTGGCTGTCTGCAACAATTTGTTTTGGTACCTACTAAGTTTAATAGAGAAGAAAGCAACACATGGCTTGTTTCGCACTTCCTCACAATTCCTCTGCTTTTCCAGATGCTTCCAAAAGACATATGTAGATGTTGCATCTAAGTGTCACTCTAAAACTACACAATGTGTAGCTCTCTTTCCTTTCTTGGAAAGATTTTGGTTACAGGTGTTTAAATCAGTCCAAACAACTATTTTTGTGTTATTTCATTACATATTGAATATTCAACATCAATATTTTCAGCACAGAGCAAATCATGTTTACTTAGTGATGTCTGAAATCTCTCCTACATGACCTGCTGATTGATAGGTTCAGAAAAAACTGTCTTTTGAATACATATGGGATTTATTCCTGAGGAAGATGATATTATTTTTCATTTGAATGTACCTGTTGTCAACAGTCAGGATTTCACAAGAAGAGATAATCCCCAAAACAGTTTAAATCAGACCACAGAGAGGTCTGATGGTGCAGTTCTAATTCCTGAAAAATATCACAATGAGACTTCAAAATGAGAAGAAATGTGATTGCAAGATTTTTTGCTGAGACAGACAGCTATGTTTGAAACCAATTGTATTGCTTTACGGACATTGCCTTCATGTATACACAGAGACAACTATAGCAATCTACATAACAACTAATTAAGGAGCCATACAATATAACAACACCTACACTCAAACTCAGAGAAAGGAGTGCAGCCTTCTCACCTAATAATTGTGGAGAAGATTTCCATGTATGGTCATGCCTCATGGTATCCAGAACAACAAGGACTACAAGGCAACCTGATGTTGAGCTTTTGGGAACAAAACTCTCAAGGAAGGTGTCCAGATACAAAGGCAAGTGCTCCTTCCCAGAAGGTTAAGTCTTTTAAAAGAACCACACAGGAATGAAAAGAACAATAAATAAAACTATGTTCTTATTTATATCACTTTATACCCGTAAATTCAGATTAATCTATGAGCACCATGGAGTCATCTGAAATGTGTTAAGGAACAAAATTACTAAAAATACATTTGGAATGAATATGATTATCCTCTGCTTTATACCATTATAATATTAGAGGCCTAAGAAGTCTCTGCTTGTTTCTATTTGACATGTGACTAACAGTTTTCAGTGACAGAAGGTGGAGACAGTCTTTTTGATTTTATAAAGGCAAAGCTTAAGGATTTTTTAAGATGCTGGCAAAGCTTTTTAAAACCTCTGAGTTCTTGGTCACATCTTACCTTTCCAAGTTATCTTGGTACTAGAATGTGTTCTTCCTTGATGAACTTTGCTTAAACTTAAGCACCTTTACATGGGAACAGAATGGAAAAACAGGTTAACAACAGTTTTGAATCAGAGGTTTACAGGTGAAGATACAATACAATAAAATTATAAAACTTCTAGGTAAAAAAAATGATGGTTTGGAAACACCAGTAAAAATTAAGCATAAGTCTTATCTGATTACTGTGATGGTAGCTGTATTTTTTTGAGTTGGAGAAGATGGTACAACAAATGTTGTCTTGTAACATTCTGATGTACATGTACACTAATGCTTGCAACATGAGGAGTGAACTTGAACATCTGTGTGCAGCTACAGGGCTATGTTCCTGTTTGGATCACAAAGACATGATAACATGACTCCTTTGACTGGAGTGTTGCACTGGAGAGATGCAGGCTCTTTAGGAAAGACAGGATGGGAAGATGAGGAGGTAGAGTAGCTCTTTATGTGAGAGAACAGACGGATTGTGTGGGGTTCTGCTTGGGGATGGATAATGAGCAAGCTGAGAGTCTATGGATAAGGATTAAAGAGAAGACACGTAGGGGTGACATTGTAGTGGGTGTCTACTACAGGCTGTGTGACCAGGAAGAACAAGTGGATAAGGTCCTATACACTATGTATAGGAGCATTCTCACATTTGCAGACCCTTGTCCTCATGGGGGACTTCAATCAACCTGTTTCCTGCTAGAGGGACAGCACAGTAAGGCATAAGCAAACCAGCAGGTTTCTGGAGTGCATCAATGACAACTTCCTCACCCAGGTGATATAGAAGTCAACAACGAGAGGTGCTCTGCTGGGCCTCAGACTCACCAACAACAAAGGGCTCATTGAGGATGTGAAGGTCAAAGGCAGCCTTTGTTGCAGTGACCATGAGGCACTGAAGTTCAGGATCACGAGGGGGAAAAAGAGAGGGAAAAGCAAGCTCACAACCCTGGACTTCAGGAGAGGAGACTTTGGCCTTTTCAAAGATTTGCTTGGTAAAATTCCATGGGATCAGGCCCTGTAAGGAAGAACACAAGAAAGTTGGTTAATATTTAAGGATCAATTCCTCCAAGTTCAAAAGAGTTCCATCCCAATTAATAATAGGAAGTCAGATAAAAATGCCAGGAGGACTGTGTGAATGAATAAACTCCAAACTCAAACACAGATAGGAAGCATACAGATCGTGGAAGCAAGGACAGGTAACAAGCAATACAGAGACGTCCGAGTATCCATGGATGAAGCTGGAAAAGCCAAATCCCAGCTGGAATTTATTATGGCCAGGGATGTCAAAGACAAAAAGAAAAGTTTCTATAAGGCCATAGGTAACAACAAAAAGTCTGGAAAAAGGTATACCTGATGCTGAATGAGTCAGGGGACCCCGTTACACAGGACTGTAATGAGGTACTGAGTGTGTTCTTTGCTTTAGTCTTTACTAGCAAGACCAGCCCTCATGAATCCCAGATCCCAGAGACCAGAGCGAAAGGCATGAGCAAGGAAGATATAACATTGGTGGAAGCTGTTGGTGGAAGTACTATTCCCTGGTCAAGGAATACTTAAGCAAGCTGGACATAGCTAAATTCATTGGCCCTGATGGAATACACCCACAAATTCTGAGTTCACTGGAAGATGTCATTGTACAGCCACTCTTGAAAAATCTTTGACTGATCATGGTGACTGGGAGAAGGGACCAAAGACCAGAGGAAAGGAAATGTCACTCTTATCTTCAAGAAGGTCAAGAAGGAGGACAGGCTGGTCAGACTCACCTCAATCTCTAGGAAGATGTTGGACTAGCTAATCCTGGAATCCATCTCCAGGTCCATGAATGACAAGAAAATCATCAGGAGTCATAAACATGAATTCATCATGGGAAAGGCATGCTTGACCAACTTGATAACTTTCTGTGACTGAATGCCTGGCTTGGTAGGTGAGGAGAGAGTGGACATTGTCTACCTAGACGTCTGTAAGGCTTTCAACACTGTCAACCCTAAGGTAGGGGAGCTATCCTCACAAAGAATCTAATGAAGTTCAATCTGGATGAGCAGACAGTGAGGTGGATTAAAAACTGCCTGAACAGCCAGGCCCAGAGACTAGTGATCAGTAGCTTTAAGTCTCAGAAACCAGTCACTTGCAGTTTACCTCAGGAGTCAATACTGAGTTCAATCCCATTTAATGTCTTCACTAAAGATCTGAATAATGTGGCAGCGTGTGCCCACAGCAAGTTTGCCAATGACACAAAGCTAGAAGGAGAGACTGAGACACCATAGGATTATGCTGCCATGCAGAAGGACTGACACATGCTGGAGAAGTGGGCTGAGAAAAGGCTCTTGAAGTTCAACAAGGAATACGTGCAAAATCCTGCACATATGAAGGAAAAAACCTATGTACCAATATATGCTGGAGGCCACATATCTGGAAAGCAGCTTTGCAGAGAAAGACTTGATGGCCAAGTAGAACTTGAGTCAGCAATGTGCCTTCATGGCAATAAAGGCCAATGGTATCTTGGGTTGCATTAAGAGGAGTGCTGTCAACAGGTCAAGGGAAGTGATCCTTCCTTTCTACTCAGCACTGGAGCTACTGGAGAGAGTAGTGAAGGGTTACAAAGGTGATTAAGGGACTGGAGTACCTTTCATATGAGGACAGGCTGAGAGCTGGGACTGTTTAGTCTGCAGAAGGAGAGGCTTGAAGGACGGATCTCATTAATATCTACAAATACGCGAACTGAGGGTGGAAAGAAGACAGAGGCAGGTTCTTTTCAGTGGTGCCAAGTAACAGGACAAGAGATAACAGGCACAAACTGTAACACAGCAAGTTCTGTCTGAACATCAGGAAACACTTTTTTACTGTGAGGGCAACTGAGCACAGGTACAGGTTTCCTAGTGAGTTTGTGGAGCCTCCATTCTTGGAGATATTCAAAAGCCATCTGGACATGGTCCTGAGCAACTGGCTCCAGGTGGCCCTGCTTGGTCAGGGTTTGGGACAAGACAACATCCAGAGGTCCCTTCCAACCTCAAACATTCTGTGATTCTGTCAACACGGAATGTGGCACACATTTTTTTCTTTATTAAGAGCATGTACAGATCAGTGATAAACCTGACATAAGAATGCACCACTTAATAAAAATGAAAGGATTGCATCAGTTTTCCCTGAGTCTGAATCACCAGAGTTAAATTATGTGCACTTTGCTTCTGAAGTCTTAAGTTTCTTTGAGTTAAATAGAAAGACTGTACATGTGAAAAACACTTCTATTAAATGATATATTTGAATGAATGTTAAGATTTAATGATGTAAATGTTAAGTGCAAAATTAGGCATGGTAAAAGAATGCCGTGTCAATGTACTGAAATGATCATTTATTACAGCATAGCAACAAGCAGTGCTTTCAAACCTTCAAAGTCCTATATTATTCTCATTATAGTTAAAGGGGTCATCTGAAGCTGAGAGAACAGCTGGGCTTTTCAAAATACAAAAGGCAAAATTCTCCATATGAAAAATAGCTATGCCTGAAACTTTAATAGAATGAATATTTTAATATTAGGATTGAATGAGCCGATAGTGCTTTTTATCCCCGAGAATGCTAGGGTTACTCAAATGTTTTATAAACTGCACCAGACAACATTCTATTTGGATAGATCATCAAGAGATCACGTGTCAGAAACTGGTAAAGGTTACTCTGTACACCAGTTTGTAAGCATAGAACATATATTAAGGCTGACTGTGTTGATGTGAAAAATGCTGATAGACCTGACTCCAAAATGGCCAATAGTAGACATTTGGTGGAAGAGGATTATCAACGGCAAGATTGTTTCTGTAATATACCCAGGACCTTGTGTAAAACAACTTCTACTGGAACAACTTATCACTTTTGACTCTTTATGAAATGTCATTTACACTTATGATTTCTACAGTTCGGCTAAGCATTATGTGAAACGTACCTTTTGTTTGTCCTGGACTGGTGCCTGATAATTTTATCCAATGCTCTTAGCTCCTGTTCAGTGAGAAACACTGAGTAATCATATGCAGTTCCAATCTATGACTAAATATCAAAGAGCTGTTCTATCATGGAGTAATGCAGGGAGGAATTAAATACATCTCCCTTGTTTATTTTGTTGAGAAACTTATAAAAAACTCGAAGGCCATTCAGTCTATAAGTTAGAAATCAAAGAATCATCATGTTCTGCAGTTCAATTTTGTTGATCTTGGTTTTAATTACTTGGGAAGGAAATCTAAGGAGAGAGATATCTGTGCACATCTGTGTGCATGTGTTTTAACTGTGTCATATAGTTGAGCTCTTTCTTACAAAGAGTCAAAAACAAGTTCTAAAACTGAAGAACTCCTGACTTGATTTATTGAGGGCCTGACTTTAAAAACAAGAGAGAACTGAATACCTGGGATCACTCTCTTATCAAAGGTTCCTTCTGCCTTTCTATAAGGAGGGCTTTAGAGACTTCCAGAATCTGTTTCCTATTGAGACTACTTCTAAAAAAGCCTGCTACATCTGTTAAAGTTGAGAAAAATTCCTTTTTTTTTTATAGTATTAATTAACTTATAGTATGGAGGCCACTAACAGGAAATAGCTATACATGTGAGTATACGTATTCATGTAACCAGCTCACTCTGTTGCAAAAGAATGGACTAAAATATAACTACTATTTACAAATAGACAGTGATACTGCATGATGTTTTGTAAAGATAAAAAAGGGATCTGGAAATCGAACTCTAGGCTAGATAGTACAATGTACAAGAGTTTGAAAGAATTATGCACAGAAAATGATTTTTGTAGTGTGTACCTCAAATTACCAAAGACACATATAAAGTAGTTCACTATCCTGCTGACTCTGGACCCTCATCTATATGTTTTCTTTAGTGTTCTGTAGCTGTCTTTGGGGTAAAAAAAAAAAATAAAAAATAAAAAATAAAAATTATTACATAAATCAAGTCAGCCTTTTATCATAAGCCTGACATGATGATAACTTCTGTACCATGTAGCCAACAGTAGAGTCTGCTGCTTTTTTAAAGGATAAAAAAGCCTTGTTCTTTAGAATATGAGTAGCAATGTGAAAGGAATTGAAAGGACATATAGGATTTAAAAAAATCAGAAAGGCAATAAAGTTTGAAACATTAAATAGTCTTGAACTGTCAGGAATCAAATTACTTTGGCCTCTACAACCACATCCTCTTCATTAACTAATTTTCCCTTAATGCCTAGACTACTGCTTACCACCTTCTGCTACCATAGGTCTCACCTATTTCATCTGTCAAACTTCCCTCTTCTTTTCCCCTTTACTTTCTAACTCAACTCCATTCTTTCTCCTGTGTAGTCTGATTCTGAATGTGTGGAGCCTCTGGGACACTTGCTGGAACAGACTTGTATGCTGTTGCATAAACACAGATTCCACTTTCACTGTCTCCAGTAACCATTAGTTCTCTGTACCACCATCTTCATCTGTAGTCCCTTTCCATTGATACCCATAAACTGGTCTCTATTCTTAAATTTCAAGCATAATCTACCTCACTTTTTAACAATTACTACTTTTATACTATAATGGTGTAATATGGCAGTTGCAGTATGGTAATTTTGAGAGACAATTTTAATATGTATGCAATTTCAGAAGAATAATAAGAATGGTTCCTTACCCATGGTATCCATGTTCTAATAGCTCACCACAGCATAATACAATGGAATTCTAAAGACAAGTGATTTACTGATATTCATGTCACCTCTGTCTAATTTATATCCAAAGATTTGGGTATTTAGCAGTAACATGTTTAAGTCATGCTGCTGTCTCTTCTGACAGTTTATATCACCAGGGAGATACAAGATGAGAAATGTCTCACTTTCTCTGAGCTGAGGCAATTTGAGGTACAGTGTTAATTGTAAAGACTGGATAAAATCGTTAATAACACTTCATTAATTACAGGATGAATGAAGAATGTTAGAAGGGACAGAATGAGAGCTAAGAGTAGATAATCTAATATGTTGGTTTTAACATTGCAGAGTAGTTCACAAAACGCATTGATAGTTGACAGTGATTTAAAAGGTTGTTGAAATAAACTTGTTGAAGTATAGGAATATTTCTACTAAAACTTCCCATAATGAAAAATTTTCAATGTTAAAATTTCAATTTTACCACAAAACTTCAAATTTATTTTAGGGAATTCTGAATATAATGTTTTATTTTGAGACAAGCGGATCTGATTCTTGACATTTTGATTTGTAAGAAAGAAATTTTAAAATGTTTCAGATTTTTTTAAATATTTGTTTGCCCCTGTGTTAGTCATTAAAGAAATATGTAGCAGTTTTAGTTAGGATGGCCCATAGCGCTTTTCTACAGGGAGGAATCACTGACTGAATTACATCTCCCATTAACTACTTTGGTTTTCCCTCCAGTTGAATGTATGACTAAGGCTCATAAAGCAAGCTATACTATGAGAGATTTAGCTTACCCATTATTTGGAGTTCATAGCACATATAGAATTATAATAAATCCCTGTGGTATTCAGGTTTGCATCAAACTGAGAAGAAAGCAAGCATCCAAAACCAGCTTGACTAATAAAAAGAAAACATTGTAATTTCAATAGTCTTATTCATGAATTCTGTCACTTTGAGACTTGGTTAATGTTTTCAAACATCTCTCTTTATTGAATTTTTTTTCCCCCCCAGTCACATCCCTGGTAGAAGTGTGACAGTAACCAAGACTGAGCTGCTGGACAGCTGGAAATCCCAGACAAATAACTGTTACTCTTGTGCATGCAGTTTACATGCATGCATCATCCTTCTGTCCAGAATATCCCAGACAGTCGACCCACAAGTTATTTAATTGTGATATGTTAGCAGGTATGATTATAAAAACTAAGATTAGCATGTTGATAAGAGGAAAGTTTGGTAAGCTTCAAGTGCAGGGAAAAATTTTGATACTTCGCCATTTCATTCTAATTTGGGATAAAATTAAAAGTTGAAATTATTAATTTCCTTCAGGAAAAAAAAAAAAAAAATTCTGTCCCCTACTACCTGTATTATGATATTTAAGAGTGGTGAAAAAATTCAGAGATCAAATGTCCTTAAATATGAAAAATCCCCTAAATTCTCTGTTTCTAGGAAGGTGGAATTTTCACAATTCTTGCAGAATTGAGTAAGCAAGTTTGC